GGTGCCCCATCCTGCCAACCAAATATGAAAATGTAATTTAAAATACAACATTATTCACAGCAGAAGTTGTGGGTTAGATCGCGCAAATATAAACGTGTCGTCAAAGCTGCCACCACCCGACACAGCCAATTAATGAAGTTTGTCACGTAAACAAACCTGTCACTCCGTCACCAGTACAGCACTAACCGGTGTGTTAGAGAGTAAACCCACAGTCTGGCTGTCGCCTGATAATGCTAGCTGTAATTACTGGCGAAACGTCGAACTCAAGTGGTAAACGTTGTGGGTTTACGTGACAAACCTTACTAATTAGCTGTGTCGGGTGGCGGCGGGTTTCACGACAAATTTATATTTACACGAACCTCTTATGTACGATTTAAAATATTAAAGCTCGGACACGTGTGTATGTTGAATTTCTCTCGCACCATCCGTAGCCGACCGTGATAATGGGGGGGGGGGAGGGGGGGAGGTGTGTGAGTGTGGGGGGTGTGAGTGTGGGGGGTGTGAGTGGGGGGGGTGTGAGTGGGGGGGTGTGAGTGTGGGGGGTGTGAGTGGGGGGGAGGGTGAGTGGGGGGTGTGAGTGGGGGGGGGTGTGAGTGTGGGGGGTGTGAGTGGGGGGGAGGGTGAGTGGGGGGGTGTGAGTGGGGGGGGGTGTGAGTGGGGGGGGGGGGTGAGTGTGGGGGGTGTGAGTGTGGGGGGTGTGAGTGTGGGGGGTGTGAGTGGGGGGGAGGGTGAGTGGGGGGGTGTGAGTGGGGGGGGGTGTGAGTGTGGGGGGTGTGAGTGGGGGGAGGGTGAGTGGGGGGGTGTGAGTGGGGGGGGGTGTGAGTGGGGGGGTGTGAGTGTGGGGGGTGTGAGTGTGGGGGGTGTGAGTGGGGGGGGTGTGAGTGGGGGGGGTGTGAGTGGGGGGGTGTGAGTGTGGGGGGTGTGAGTGGGGGAGAGGGTGAGTGGGGGGGTGTGAGTGGGGGGGGGGGTGTGAGTGTGGGGGGTGTGAGTGGGGGGGAGGGTGAGTGGGGGGTGTGAGTGGGGGGGGGTGTGAGTGTGGGGGGTGTGAGTGGGGGGGAGGGTGAGTGGGGGGGTGTGAGTGGGGGGGGGTGTGAGTGGGGGGGGGGTGAGTGTGGGGGGTGTGAGTGTGGGGGGTGTGAGTGTGGGGGGTGTGAGTGGGGGGGAGGGTGAGTGGGGGGGTGTGAGTGGGGGGGGGTGTGAGTGTGGGGGGTGTGAGTGGGGGGAGGGTGAGTGGGGGGGTGTGAGTGGGGGGGGGTGTGAGTGGGGGGGTGTGAGTGTGGGGGGTGTGAGTGTGGGGGGTGTGAGTGGGGGGGGTGTGAGTGGGGGGGGTGTGAGTGGGGGGGTGTGAGTGTGGGGGGTGTGAGTGGGGGGGAGGGTGAGTGGGGGGGTGTGAGTGGGGGGGGGGTGTGAGTGTGGGGGGTGTGAGTGGGGGGGAGGGTGAGTGGGGGGGTGTGAGTGGGGGGGGTGTGAGTGGGGGGGGGTGAGTGGGGGTGTGTGAGTGGGGGGGTGTGAGTGGGGGGGGTATGAGTGGGGGGGGTGTGAGTGGGGGAGTGTGAGTGGGGGGGTGTGAGTGGGGGGGAGGGTGAGTGGGGGGGTGTGAGTGGGGGGGGTGTGTGAGTGGGGGGGGGTGAGTGGGGGTGTGTGAGTGGGGGGGTGTGAGTGGGGGGGTGGTAGTGGGGGGGTGTGAGTGGGGGGGTGTGAGTGGGGGGGGTGAGTGGGGGGGGGTGAGTGGGGGTGTGTGAGTGGGGGGGTGTGAGTGGGGGGGTGTGAGTGGGGGGGGTGAGTGGGGGGGGGTGAGTGGGGGTGTGTGAGTGGGGGGGTGTGAGTGGGGGGGTGTAAGTGGGGGTGTGTGAGTGGGGGGGTGTGAGTGGGGGGGGTGTGAGTGGGGGGGTGTGAGGGGGGGGTGTGTGAGTGGGGGGGTGTGAGTGGGGGGGTGAGTGGGGGGGGTGTGAGTGGGGGGTGTGAGTGGGGGAGTGTGAGTGGGGTGTGTGAGTGGGGGTGTGTGAGTGGGGGTGTGTGAGTGGGGGGTTCTGTATAGTTACGATCTCACGTGCGAATGAATGACGTGGCCACGAGCCCGATAGCGACTCACGTCGACAGCAGTCGACAAGACCAACGGTGGTTGTTGCTATTGTCACAGAGCCGCAGGTAAATAGGAATAGATAAGGCTCGTGGTGATTAGGGCTGCCACCGAGGGCGTGCATCGACAGGGATAGCGACGGCAGCAGCAGCAGCAGCGACCTGGTTACCCGGTAGCACAGCGATGAGGCCATCAGCAGAGAGGATGACGACTACGCACGGGGCTATTAATGCGCGACCGGCTCAAAGCTTCACAAAGTTCCCGCGACACGTTCGTCAGTAACACCGCGCGTGTGTTAGTATGTATGTGTGTGTATGTATATGTATGTGTGTGTGTGTATGTGTTATGTGTGTGTGTATGTATGTATGTGTATGTATGTGTATATGTATGTATATGTATGTGTGTATGTATGTGTGTATGTATGTGTGTGTGTATGTGTATGTATGTGTGTGTGTATGTGTGTGTGTGTATGTGTGTATAGGAGTGTGGGGAGCGGTAGTGTAGCGGTTAGCGCCATGCTGCGCTATGAACCCGACCACCCGGGTTCGATTCCCGCTCACGGCCAACACCAGTAACAAATATCTGAACGGGTGCTGGGCCTCCCCAGGTCGACTCAGCCTCAAATGAGTACCTGGTGCGGTGTGTAAACATCGCCACTAGGGATACAAAGGCGGCCGGGCGTGGTGCTGGCCACCCACCCCCTTTGTATGCCGTGCCGGCCTTCATAGGTGCTCGCTAACAGCACTTTCCCCAAGAGTGTGTTTAGGCGATAGGGGGGATCTTTGTCTTTGGTTTTAAAAGTAAAAACATAAATATAGCATCGGCGGCGATGTTTCGTGTGATGGCCCTACTTCAGAGCACAGCTCTAACGGAGGCCCATCTCCCTTCACGAGTCTCTCGGCGCGAGTGAACAACACAGCGGCGGGTTGAGACGGCAACCCGCATCACGCGATCGCAGCGACACCGCTCGCTCGTACGCGTGGCGACTTCAATTTGTTTGCCTCTGCCGGCTGGTGGGAGGGCATTTTGACACGGACGTGGTCCCACATCATAACGTGGCTTTGGAAAAAGAGAGACGACAGAAGGGGGAAGGAGGGGGTATCTGGTGAGATTCGATGAAGTCGGCGAATTCAGGGCGACTTGTTCGGCTGTCGCTGACTGCCACCACCACCACCACCACCATGACTATCACCACCGCCGCCAATGTCACCGCCACCACCGCCGTCACGTGGCGAACGCGGGCACCCGCCGCTCTCTGCCGCCGTCGGGGGCGTCGCCCGTGGTGCCGTGCGTGCCACCGCTGACGGACGGCACGGCGGCCCGCACGGCCCTCCTCCTCCTCCTCCGCCGGTGGCGGCGCAGCAGCGCTCCGGCGACCTCCGCGCGCAGCTCGGCGGAGCGCAGGCCGTAGACGAGCGCGTTCACCGCGGGCACGCCGCACGCGTTCGCCACCTGCAGCACCGTCTTGGCCGCGACGATGCCGCGCAGCGTCGGGGGGAGCTCCTCGTCCGCCGTGTGGCTCAGCCGCTCGGGCGCCTGGAACTCGGCCACCTCGAGGAGGAAGATGGCCATGCCCACGGCGTAGGAGACGGAGAGCAGCGTGCCGTGCGTGAAGCACGTGTGCAGCGCCTTGCGGCGCGACGGCACCGGCCTCGACCGCTCGCCGGCTCCGGCCATCGACGCCCGCATCACCTACAAATAACAATAATAATAATAATAATTCTAGATTTGAAGCTTTCGTGACTGCAAGGATCCACACTCTTTGGTTCTATTCGGACGCGACCTGGGCTTGCTGTCTTCACTCCAACGCTGTCCTCTGGACAGTCCAGTCCCTTCACCTGATGAAGGCCACTTGTGTTGTGGCCGAAACGTCGTGATTTTTTTGTTATTTTATTTTTACCTACGTGACTTTACCGAATAGAACCAAAGAATAATAATGAGAAGTAAGAATCTCAACCTGTCTAACTATATAGCTGTTTTTTTTATTAACTCGGTAAGGCCCACTTTGAGCTGTGTGGATTTTATTTTTTCATAAGCGACCTGGCCATCATTAATAATAGCCCAACGAAGTGGCTAATCATCACGTGGAAATGTATAGCAGCCACATACTCTAAACGCGTGATGTTGGTTCTAAATGTGGAGCGAAAACCGGAGGACCTGGAGAAAAAAATCCACGCGACCACGTGGAGGGAGCCACGCAAACTCCAAATATACAGCAGGCGTCAGGGATGGGATCGACCCCACGACCTGCTGCATACCAGGCGAGATAGTTAACATCTCACCACCGTGACGCCCCTAGTTGTAACTCGCCGTCACGCAGTATTCACTCGGTCTCGACAAGAGAGAGGGAGAGGGAGGAACCACAGCAGCAGCAGCAGCCACGCGGTGAGGAGCCGGCGCTCCGAACGATTTGCCCAACAGAAGCACAGAGAACAAAGCAAGCAACAGAAATAATGAGAATCCCTTGGTGGAACGGCTCACTGTGGAGCCGTTCCACAACGACGATTCTGCACCACTCGCCAGCGAAATACATCCCAGTGGGTGGGGGGGGGGGGGGGCGATAATCATCGTGTCGGGTTCACGGGCCCGGTGAGGGGTCGACCCGCAAACGGCGTTGGCGTTGGCCGCTAGCACACACACACTCGCACACACACTCACACACACACTCGCACACACACACACACACTCGCACACACACTCGCGCACACACACTCGCACACACACACACTCGCACACACACACTCACTCGCACACACACACACTCGCACACACGCACACACACTCGCACACACACTCGCACACACACACTCGCACACACACTCGCACACACACACTCGCACACACACTCACACACACTCGCACACACACGCACACACACTCGCACACACACACTCGCACACACACGCTGGCACAAACACACACACTCGCACACACACACACGCTCGCATACACACACTCACACACGCTCACGCACACGCACGGCAGCGAGGAAGGCAGCGCCCGAGTGACGCGACCGAGCGTCGGCCTTGCCCAGACCACCAGCTCACGTGGGAGCCCTTGGGGCTGGGGGTTCCCGCGTCACCTTGGCGTAGGTGAAGGTGCTGAGCAGCAGGAAGGCGGTGGACATGACGCCGGTGAAGGCCGAATCGAAGGCGACGTCCGAGGACGAGCTGTGGCACGAGGCGACGGCCAGCGACATGTGGTCGCACATGAGGCCCGGCAGGCGCGGGGGTCGGGGGGGCCGCGTGGCGGGGGCCCCCTCGGAGCCGCCGGGGGGCGGGCAGGCGCGCAGGTGCAGGGAGGCCCCCAGGAAGGAGGCGGCGACGGCGAGGGAGGCCGCCCAGCCCACCGCCAGCGCCACGCAGGTGCCGCGGCCGCCGTGCGTGCAGCGGAGGTAGTGGAACGGGTGGCAGATGGCCAGGTACCTGGGCGAGGTGCGCCGCGGAGGGGCGGGGCGGGGGAGTCGTGGCGGCGGTGGCACCGCGTCGAGCTTACGGCGAAATGTCCGACGTTTCGCTTCACGTGCCGAGAGCTTCGTCGGGAATGGAGCCGTGACTCCCAGATGGGGGAGAAACCGCCCCCACCTCCTCATCCATCCAACCAAACTACCCCCCCTCCACCCACCGACTCACCCGCCCGCTCACCCCCCCCACCCCTCCACCCACCGACTCACCCGCCCGCTCACCCCCCCACCCCTCCACCCACCGACTCACCCGCCCGCTCACTCCCCACCCCGCCACCCACCGACTCACCCGCCCGCTCACCGAGCCACGCACGCACTCACCTGTCGAGCAGCATGCTGGTGACGGAGGCGAACCCGGCGCTGGACGTGAACGAGAAGAAGAAGAGCTGAGCGCGGCACGCGGACAGCGACAGTGGCACCGCGGCGGCCCCGGGCAGCCCCGGGCGAGCGAACAGGAGGAGCGCGAGCCCCGCGTGGGCGCGCAGGAGGTCCGCGAGCGCCAGGCTGGCCATGAAGCAGAACATCGCCTTGCGGCGGAGCGCCGGCAGGCAGGAGATGGCCGCCACCAGCGCTGCGTCCAAAGCGCAGCCGACGACGTAGAGCGCCACGGCAAGGCCCTGCACCAGTGGGGCGGCCTCGCCCAGCCCGAGGGCCGGGTGGTAGGAGAGGAGCTGCGGTGGCTCGATACCGTTGTCGTCGTCATCCGGCGGCGGCGGCGGCGCCAGCGACGCGTTGGGCGACGCGCGACTCATCTCGCGGTGCCCGCACGGATGCCCCCGTGGGCTGCCGCGCGCCGTGCGCGGTTTGCTGTGGGCGGCGGAAGAGTTGGAAATTGAAGCGGGCATCTTCATCGCGACCGCCGCTAGCATCATTGCGACCGTCATCGGTATCATCATCTTCTCAACTTCGGCTGCCCCAATACAACCACGCGTTCCGCCAGAGCACGCGGGGATGTATTGGGGTAGCTGAGTGGAGTAGTGCACTCGTTCCCCCAGAGTAACCACCCAGGCACTCCATCACATACCTCGCCACCAACACGACCGCCCGCGCCCTCTGGGCAACACAAAGCTCCCCACCCACCACCACCACCACCCAGCACCACCCACCACCACCACCGTAGTCTTAAGCGGACTGTTGGGGCTGTCGGCACCACACCACAGCCGGGTTCGCTTAACAACGCCGCGCTAAAGCTGGCTGAGTCGAGTCTGAGTCGACCCCGGGGGTGGGGAGGGAGATCCCAGGAGAGGTTCGGAGAACAATAATAATAAAATAATCATCGTCGCCGTCGGTGGCCGTGAGCGGGACTCAAACTTGGGTGGCCGTGCCCGTGTCTCGTCACGAGACGTAAACACGAGAGAGCGCTCACGCGGACGCGATCCCGACGCTCCCACGCGTTCATCATCATCACAATCAGCCGTGGTTTAGAGACGCGAGCCAGAGCGGTGAGATTGAGGCCACGCAACCCGACACTGCGGGCAGTCCAGTAAAGCCATCCTGATACAGAGAGATATACTCATAGAGATACAGAGAGATACATAGAGATACATAGAGACGCAGAGACATACATAGAGACACAGAGAGAGACAGAGAGATGATCACAGAGATACATAGAGACACAGAGAGATACTCATAGAGATACAGAGAGATACATAGAGACACAGAGAGATATACTCATAGAGATACAGAGAGATACATAGAGACACAGAGAGACACAGAGAGATGATCATAGAGATACACAGAGATACAGAGAGATATACTCATAGAGATACAGAGAGATACATAGAGACACAGAGACATACATAGAGACAGATAGATATACTCATAGAGACACAGAGAGATACATAGAGACACAGAGAGACACAGAGAGATCATCATAGAGATACATAGAGACACAGAGAGATATACTCATAGAGATACATAGAGACACAGAGAGATACACTCATAGAGATACAGAAAGATACATAGAGACACAGAGAGATATACTCATGGAGATACAGAGAAATACATAGAGATACATAGAGACACAGATACATATATAGAGACAGAGAGATACTCATAAAGACACAGAGAGATACATAGAGACAGAGAGACACAGAGAGATGATCATAGAGATACATAGAGACACAGAGAGATACTCATAGAGATACATAGAGATACATAGAGACACAGAGAGATATACTCATAGAGATACAGAGAGATACATAGAGACACAGACAGAGATACTCATAGAGATACATAGAGACATAGAGACATACATAGAGACACAGAGAGATACTCATAGAGACACAGAGAGATACATAGAGACACATAGAGACACAGAGAGATGATCATAGAGATCCATAGAGATACCGAGAGATACATAGAAACACATAGAGATGATCATAGAGATAATAGAGATACAGAGAGATACTCATAGAGATACATAGAGACACAGAGCGATACATAGAGACACATAGAGATACATAGAGATACTCAGAGACACAGAGATATACATAGAGACACAGAAACATACATAGAGACACAGAGCGATACATAGATATACTCATAGAGATACATAGAGGCACATATAGATGCATAGAGACACATAGAGATACATAGAGATGATCATAGAGACACAGAGAGATACATAGAGACACAGAGATACATAGATATACTCATAGAGATACATAGAGACACATAGAGATACATAGAGACACAGAAACATACATAGAGACACAGAGCGATACATAGAGACACAGAGAGATACATAGAGATGCTCAGAGATACATAGAGACACAGAGAGATACATAGAGACACAGAGAGACACATAGAGACACAGAGATACATAGGGACACAGAGAGATACATAGAGATGCTCATAGAGATACACAGATATACATAGAGACACAGATAGATACATAGAGGCACAGAGAGACACATAAAGACACAGATATACATAGAGATGCTCATAGAGATACATAGAGACACATATAGATACATAGAGACACAGAGAGATACATAGAGATGCTCAGAGATACATAGAGACACCGAGAGATACAGAGACACAGAGCGATACATAGAGGCACATAGAGATACATAGAGACACAGGGAGATACATAGAGATACTCATAGAGATACATTAAAGACGAGGCACAGCAGTGCGACTGTGGCCATGCAACCCACACTACGGACCGCGCAGTGAACCCACCGTGGTCTGCGCTCCTTCAACGTAGGAGGAGGAACAGCGACACGACACGAACTCTCTCTCTGTCTCTCTGTCTCTCTCTGTCTCTCTGTCTCTCTCTGTCTCTTTCTGTCTTTCTGTCTCTCTCTGTCTCTCTGTCTCTCTGTCTCTCTCTCTGTCTTTCTGTATCTCTCTATCTCTCTGTCTCTCTGTCTCTCCGTCTCTCTCTGTCTCCCTCTCTGTCTCTTTCTGTCTTTCTGTCTCTTTGTCTCTCTCTGTCTCTCTGTCTCTCGCTCTGTCTCTCGCTGTCTCTCTCTGTCTTTCTGTCTCTCTCTGTCTCTCTGTCTCTCTATGTCTCTCTCTCTGTCTCTCTGTGTCTTTCTGTCTCTCTCTCTGTCTCTCTCTCTGTCTTTCTGTCTCTCTCAGTCTATCTCTGTCTTTCTGTCTCTCTCTCTCTCTGTCTCTCTGCCCGAAGCCCTCTCATCGTGGCCAGCAACAGCAGCACCAGACCTCGACATTAGCATTTAGCTCCTGAACATCTTGACACTGCCATCATACGCAAGAATATAATCAGCCGTGGTCAATCCACTGCTGGATTAAGGCTTCCCCGCGGCGCCTCCGGAGCCACCGCGATCCTGGCACGGGGAAGATCCGCACGAGTCTCTGATTTCATGGCTCCATCTCCCCGGGCGGACACGACATCCTCTCGTACGACCCCAAAAAACATTCCTCGATCGATTCGCACCTCCGATTGGCAGGGTTGGCAACGTACGGCGCGAAAGAATTTCGACATGCATGCATACGAACTCGCTCCGACGGCGCCTTTCTCAAAGCCAGGGGGCCCCGTGGACTTAAAGTGATCCTCTTAGAAAGGAATAGAGGCCCTCATCCAGCAGTGGAGCGACCAATCCGACGCCGGCACGAGGCAGCACGCACCCTGGGGGTTAGGGGTCAATCCGCACCTCGGTCACTGCCGCACTCTTCTCGATGCGCTGCGACAAATCCCACGGCCGAGGGCCCCGGCGCCCGTGGTCGAGTGCCCCCCCCCCCCACCCACGCGGGTCGTCACTCGCGGGGCGCGCCGAGCGGAACGCCGCCGTCGTCTGGGAGTCCCGGGGTCTGGGAGCTTCAGCGGGCGACTCGGAGGCGGCGGCTGCGCTCGTAGCCCCAGCGGGGGGGTCACGGGATAACGAATGGGAGCTCGCGAAGTGGAGGGAGGGAGGGAGGATGGGAGGCGAGAGAGGGAGAGGGACACGCGTCTGCTGACCCAGCCCCAGTGAAGGATGTGGGACAGTATGGTGGTGGTGGTGGTGATGATGGTCGTGGTGATGATGATGGTAGTGATAATGATGGCGGTGATGATGATAGTGGTGGTGATGATGGTGGTGATGATGATGGTGGTGATCGTAGTGATGATGATGATGGTGGTGATGATCGTAGTGATCATGATGGTGGTGATCGTAGTGATGATGATGGTGGTGGTGATGATGGTGGTGATCGTAGTGATGATGATGGTGGTGGTGATGATGATGGTGATGATCGTAGTGATGATGATGGTGGTGGTGATGATGATGGTGGTGATCGTAGTGATGATGATGACGGTGGTGATCGTAGTGATGATGATGGCGATGGGATGCTCAGCCATGGCCATTCCACTGCTGGATGATGGCCTCACCCCACACCCCCCTCCCACCTCAAGCCGTCAGCATTTATTGACGCTTCGTGACGTCTTGTTTAAATATTCTCTACTTTGCACCCCTGTCGTGTTCTTGGAATGTTTGCTGTTGTAACTTGCTGACCCGCCCCGACTTGGAGGTCTGTGAAAAAAAGAGCTTCACAGCTCATCGGATTCCCTCCAGTCTAATTAAATATTCGGATTGTGACCTCTCACGCGTCTTGCGATACACTCAACCGCACGAACACACGCATTCTATTATTATTATTACTATGCCGGTAGGAGGAAGCCACTGGAGCTACGCACTTTTAAAACTAGATGGACAAACTCATTTCTTTAGAACTGATTTTTGTGTTTCGTTTGTTTGTCCTCGCCCCCAACCTCTCATGAGAACGGTTGGCTAAGTACGGTGCGAAAAAAGTTCAACGTACATACGTACACACATAGACTCGCACGAAGACCCATGGACTCACACAGAGACCCATAGACTCACACAGAGACCCATAGACTCACACAGAGACCCATAGACTCACACAGAGACCCACCGTTTGCCGTCCTTCCCCCGCACCTCCGATTTGCACGGTTGGCTACGTACGGTGCGAAAGAAATTCGACGTAAGTGGGTAGACCAGCTGATTGTCATAGCTCCATCTCCTCGACGGACGTCCCCTCCTCACGAGTTCCCCGTTCCAAGACTTCTGACCACGCCGAGCCCTGCCCACTCCCCCACTCACCTCTTTATAATAATTCAAATTATGCCATTAAACCCTTGCAAGCGTTCCCCTAATCCGTGTGTGTCTCTCTCTGTCACGCACTGTAACTTACCAGGATGCACGTCTCTACCCATTTTCGGTGGTTGGATGTTTTTTTGTTGTTTGTCGTTCCGTTTTTCTCTGCGTGGCGATCGGCGGCGGGGGCGGCGGCACCGGGAATTTTGCAATCCACAAACGTCGCCCGGTCAGACCCCCGAGCCCAAC